TACGCCCCTCCGGGAAACCATGGTCATTGAGAACGAAAGATTCGTCGAATATGACGAGACTGGCGCAATTAAGGGTGCGCCGAAAAACGCAGTCAAGTCCAAATATCCAGAAGATGTATTGGTGAACAACCACACTACAGTATTTGGAAGCTGGTGGCATGACTTCCAGTGGGGTTACGCTTGCTGTTTTTCAACGGTGAAAAATAGCTATTGTACCGGTGAAGACGGTAAGAAAGCATTCGAGGAAGCAGAAATGAGGTCGATGGGTTTGCTGCCTGGGCCAGAGACGAGTGGCCAACCCTCCGCTCCGGCTAAGGGCGAGACAAACGACATCCATGAAGCCGAGGATTCGACCGATCGCAGTCAGCCAAAGGCAGACACCGAGGCCAACACTAGGAAGAGAACAATGATGGAGATGAAATCTGGTGTTAGTGAGGAAGAGTTGGAGTCATACAAACGGAGTCGTCTCGCCGCAGACGATCCAATGGCTTCGTTCATCGGGAAAGAAGGATTGTGACACCTTACGTGAGGCTTCAGATTATAGTTGTCGCATATGCCATTTTTGCATCATCAGAAGGGCGTTTTGAGGCTGATCTTCGTTTACTCAATACCCATTTAAGTTGTATTCAGGAGAATGTTCGCTGTATCTAGAATTATCATCATGCAATCTATCACATTAGCGAGATATACGAACAGCCAAATGAGCGAATACTAGTTCACCTGGCTCTTGCAGACGACTGACGTCTAATGCTTTGGACGGTGCAATTCTATCTAGGTGGGCTAGAGTACTCCGAGTAGTTAAGAGGCAGAACAGTGTGAAAGCATGAAGATGCCCAGTTCAAGGCAGGCTAATCCTGAAATGGTTAGCCTATCTAAAGTGGCGTCGATGTGCAGTTCGGACGTCAGGTGACCCTGAGTTCCCGGGAGCTTCTGGAATCACGGGACGAGGGCACAAGCCCTGGATACCACAACTCGCTTAGCGACACCCGCCCCAGATCTCAGCGCAACTTTCGATACGCCCAGCGACGACGACAACGACAACCAGCCCTTCAACGGAATCGCCAGGTAAGTTGCTATTACATGTGTTGCCGTGCCCTTTTTTGTCATTTTTCAAGCGACATATTGTACTAATTTGGCGTCAATTCCGCAGTTCCTTAATTCAAGATGAGTACGTACACATTCGACATTTCACCGAGCGCCGATGGCCTTTCTCGTCGAAAGATTCTAGCAGACTGACAACGATTACAGCGAAGGGTACCTCCAGCTTCGGCAAGCGCCACAACAAGTCTCACACCCTCTGCCGGCGTTGTGGTCAGTATTTCACCTTTCGAGATTGTCCCGGTGGAAGATTCATGCGGTTCTCTTATATGGGAGACGGTGTTGGGATATTGCCGGAGGAAAGCGATAGGATTCAGATGGGCTAACAGCTTGTGATTTTCGATTTGCAGGCCGCCGCTCCTTCCACATCCAGAAGTCGACCTGTGCCAACTGCGGTTACCCCTCCGCTAAGGTTCGCAAGTGTACGGACTCCCCGATTCTCGTTATCTCTTTTGTTTGAACCCGTGCTCGGTCGACAACGGAACCCTTTCAAGCACGGCTGTATGATTGAGTTTTAGAATGTTGGCTTACGGATTTTCTTTTAACAACAGACAACTGGAGCGAGAAGGCCAAGAGAAGAAAGACCACCGGCACCGGCAGAATGAGCCACCTCAAGGATGTCCACCGTCGCTTCAAGAACGGCTTCCAGGTCGGCACTCCCAAGGGCGCCCGTGGTCCCGAGAACCACTAAATTAAATTCGACGTCGCGTTTTCGTTCTCGGAGGCTGGAGAGGGCTGGTATGAATGGCCTGGCATTTGAAATGACCGGTTTCAATGCAAGGCGAAAATGACGCTTTCCCATGGAGTTGGTGTTGGGACGGGTATTCACTTTGCCGTCATAGCAATCATGTTCTAGTCTAAAAGAATAAATGGGCACAAATTTGACGACAAATGGAAGACCGAACAAAAATTCGAGGGATTTTTTGCAAGGGAAAGCACGCGTGGATTTCTTTTCCTTGTTCATGGCTGGCGAATATCCCGCGTGGCAGATACAGTGTTGTGATACCTTCCCAATGCTACGATCTGTCTTACTGAATTTACCCGTTTTCATCCATTGTACAGGCCTTTTGCATCTCCAGAGCGATCAAACACTTCAAATGACGATTTCGTACCAGCCGTCGCACTGGTTCCATTTTGTCCTCCGCGCCTCGAAACGCCTGGTTTCCGCAAAAGACAATCTTCTCATCAACAACTGAGCCAGCACTTTTATTCTCCTCTCCCAAAGATCCTGACACCTCCGTCTCTCTGAATGAAGTACAACATCTCTTTCTCTTCCCAATCAGCCTCAGCACCTGTCTTTTCACACCTGCCCCAGGCGCCTCCTTTGCTTATTCTCAGCACTCCACTGACGTCCCTGGCCGCACCCGTTTCCAAACTGCGCAGTTGCATGACCATATCCGCCCGGTGAGCCGACCCAATGGCAAAGGCGGCATGCTCTATCTCCAATGGCGTTGCCGATTGCGAAGCGGATGTTGATGCATTGTGTATCAACGGCGAATCGGCGGAAAGCGTCAGGATCGTCGCATAAGCATGCTACACTCGGTCAGCACAGTAATTGGTTATCCCTTGATGATCGTACCTCTTGTAGTCCCATGACCCATTCTCCCATTTCGGTAGCACCTATACCCTTATTCGGACCCGTAGCGGCCAGTAGCATGTCCGGTTGGTCAATGACCAGTAGTGCTTCGGGTTCCCCTTCATCTCCGTCTTTCGAGGTTTTGAGCTGCTCGATCACATTCGCGATGTCATTCTCGAGTGCGTCAAGGGCTCCGAACCCGCTGCCCGAGAAATGTAGTCGTTTCGTACGTCCATTCTCGGTCGATGCTGTACTCGGGACCGTGGGGCTCGGTCGCAGCAGAGTTTGCGGAGCTCGTCCCGGCACAGCGCCTGGGGATGTGCGTAGAGGGAGGACAGTCCTTGGAGGAATGGCAGAGGGCGAAGAGGGTGGCGCTGGTGATCTTTGGGGCGCCGAAGGTGCGTAAAAGAGTTCCGAGAGTCCATCAACAAAGGCGAATTGGCCCTTGTCTGTCAGGCGCGCAAGATCCAAACCCTAGGAGTGTCAGTCTGTTGCTGGCTTGAAAATTCAGGGAACGATAATCATAAATAATGAAGCCCATAGGCAGCGCCTACACTTTGAGCTAGAAAAAATTGAGCAGGGGGAGCAAACTTACCAATCTCTTCGCTTCTGTCCTCCAAAAATCCCAACCCCGCAAAAAACTTACAAGCACGACTTTGCGCTTTTTCCGCCCATCAAGCCCATCGCTACCGAACGCTACGTGGGAGTTGGATGGCGCGCTTAGTGCAGCATAAAGAAATCGGAGGACGAGCCAATTGCCCGTTGCGTCTAGTACTGAGGACAAGACTGTGAGTGAAGAGGGACTGAGGGACGTTACGTATGGCGTTAGGAGGGGTGGTACTGCCGGTTGGGAGGGCATGATCAAGCCACAATTTTCTCCGGGATGTTGCACCGATGAGCGCAGTCAAAATTGGTATGCGTAAGTCCCAGATGAGCCCTGTCTGAGAGTACCGTAATTGTGCGGGAATTTATTTCGATATTGTTAGTATCGGGGAGATGACGTTGTATAGAAAATATGACTGATTGGTCGATATGCGCGTTGATGCCAAGCCTGTCTCATGCCTCAGGCAATTAGTATGAATATCATGCGATTCATATGCTGCGCTGGCTCGAATCTAGCCGTTCTGCAACCTTTTTATCTCAGATAGCTTTGATCTAACTTATAGTAATTGCAATGAGCTCACATTGAAAGCCCGTCCTGGTGGTACGAGGGAGACCACACGCAGCATGAAAGGAGACATGTGATATGCGGAGAGAGTTGAAATAAATATACTTCGTTAAAGGGCTTAGATGCACCCAGGTTGATAACGTGATTTGCTCGCGCAGCTGTTGAGAATATGCAGCAAGGTATAACTCAATAAAGGAACCCAATAATTCTCATTCGATCGAAATATCCTTTTCAATTGTTCTAAATTCTACAAAGCTGTAGTTACACCGCAGGTGTACTGCAACTTCTCCAGTTGAAGCATACCACAACACAAGCCTGGTCGATTCAACAATCGTCGAAATAAGCAGGCCCTTTCAGAAATGACATTACGAAGGAGCCCGAATGATAGAGCTGTAGCATATCATAGAGAGTACGAAGTCGTTTGTAATTCTTCCATAAGACTTACTGATCCCCAATCGACCAAATTGCCATATGTGCCTGAGGACAACAAAATGGGTCGTTGTTATTCGACAAAATTTTGCGCCCATCACCTGACTGACTGCCACTTCCCCACACGACTTTCTTCTCATCCAGCACAAAACGGGAATTCTCGAGTCGGATTTCCAATAGTCTAAGTCTCAAATACCAAGTCGAATGAAGGCTCTCGTCTGACCTTCTCATGGGTTTGGAAACTGCATCAATCTGTGACTTCTGGTTGTCCGGTCCCTAAAGCGTGGATCCTATACTGTTCATATGCCGATCGTGAGTTGGCCCCACGACATCCTCTCGTCCTGAGATTCCCCAGTCGTACTCTGTTTATTCAATTGATTTTTGCCGATTGGTATTGTCGCAAGTCCATCTGTCTTTAAATGCTCGTACATCGCCTGTTGCTGTGAATACGGGTTATGTTCATTGCTTGAAATATCCTGTCAATTCTTCTGGGCCCCTATTCTCCGATGTAGATTGCAATACGGCCAGTCGCCTTGGCCATTGCGCATTGATTCCTTTCAAAACCATTGAGAGCTCATGCTTGACCACAGTACAGGGGAGAAGATGCGGAATGATGAAAACCAGCGCTGAGTGCTGACTTGCTATACTCGATTAGATGCTACCAGTCTGGTGTAACTCTCAACGTACACCTGACTTACAACTCAAACAACCAGATTATCAGCGATAAAAATGGCCAGTACTCGTGATTCTCACTCATACGCTGTAGGTGCTGCCGACTCCAACTAATACGAGTCAAGGAATCGGGAGTGACTGATTTTGCTTCCAGTGTGATGAGTGCCGTTTAAGAAAGTCCAGGGTATGGTATAGCCATTTTGGTATGACCAGATAAGGCCCTATTGACACTTCACAGTGTTCGAAAGAACGGCCGATATGTGCTCAATGCAAGCAACTGAACAAAGAGTGCAATTACAGCCCGAAAGTCACTAGAAGTCCTCTCACTCGACAGTAAGTTTGCTCTTCCCTTACTACTTCCACAGAATGGCTAACATGACATTGGCAGACATTTAACCTATGTCGAAGAGCGCCTGCAAGCCTTTGAAACAGCTTTAGGAAGGCTTTTTCCCGGAGGTGACCTGGACGCTACTGTTCGCTCGTTGCTGCAGGACCAAGATGCGCCGCAGAAGACTGTGCCTTCGCCCAAGTCTTCATCAAGGCATTCTACCCCATCCAAGGCCGAAGCAGATCGAACCGAACCAGCCCCAGAAGCTCTTCCGCAACAAGCGGACGGGTTCGATTGGGCCGAGAACAGAATCACTGTAGGCGATCTGACAGATGGAATGGCCGCGTTGTCGATAAAGCCGGAGGGAACAGGTTATTTCGGTTCGTGTCGGACCAAAACAAAGTGAATCCTAAAGGCTGCTAACTCCCTGCACAGGCGCATCTTCCAGTGTGGTGCCCCTTCGAGCATTATTGAAGCATGGTTTCGATCTGAATTTTCCTGCAAGTCCGAATAAGCCAACGGAAAGAGTGCCTTTGAAAAGCCAGCTTCTGAGCACTGCGCCTTCCGGGCTCATTGAGCAAGCTTTCATGGACGCCTTCTTTCTCAATTACCATACCAGTTATCCATTTGTGCACGAAGCTACTTTCAAAGCGCAATTCTATGAACAAGTTCCCCGCCCGCATGGACAGGCGTGGCAGATTCTTCTCAATACCATTCTGGCCCTTGGGGCGTGGAGCATTGGAGATGATAACTCCGACCTTGATATCACATTCTACCAGGAAGCCAGAAGCCACCTGCAGCAGGTGTCTGTATTTGAAACAGGAAATCTTACTCTCATCTTGGCCCTGCTACTTCTGAGTAACTATGCGCAGAAGAGAAACAAGCCGAACACCGGCTGGAATTTCTTGGGCCTGGCCGTGAGAATGGCCATGAGCCTTGGTCTGCACAAGGAGTTCCCCGGGTGGAAGATCAGTCTACTTCAGCGAGAGATGAGGAGGCGATTATGGTGGGGTGTGTATATATTTGACAGTGGTGCGGCGAAAACTTTTGGTCGACCTATCCTCTTACCTGAGGACAGTGTCATGGATTCAAAACATGTTCTCAACATTCATGACGAGGTAATACGGGATCCCCTCCACAAGCATTCTAATGAGCCCGTTCAATATCTAACGCAAATCGCAGGCTCTCACATCAACAACCACCGTCCTACCCGCCGAGGAGAACGGGCCAACTATCTACTCAGGCATGATTGCGCAGGCGAAATTCCACCTACACACCAATAGCGTCTACCAGCGTCTGATATCGACACCCAGTCTCACCGCGGAAGAGACATTGGGTCTCTCCAAACCCATGGAAGACTGGTACAACAGCCTTCCGCATTACTTCAAGCAACCGATTACAACACCCGAGTCGGACAACTTCGCTCTCGTCCGTAACCGCCTCATGTGGCGGCACTGGAATCTGAGAATTCTCCTTTACCGGCCCATCCTCCTCCGCTGGGCGTCGAGGAGATGGACGCCGACGCCGGACTCGCCGCCGGAACCCGAGGATCCGCTCGAGACGGAGTGCAGGATGCTCTGCCTTCGCAACGCGCGGTGGACTATCTCGTCCATCTCGGACTTTGTCAATAATCACATCTGCACGAGACTGGGGGCTTGGTATATGCTGTACGTTCAATAACCGCCATCCTTGAAAATGCTAGAGGCACTTAGCGCTAATGGTTTATGCACAGGTACTTCCTCTTCCAGGCCGGTCTGATCCCCGTCATACTCCTCATGACAGATCCCACGAGCACGGATGCGCCCGCCTGGCTTCAAGACGTCGAAACCACCAAGAAACTTCTCACCCACCCTTCTTTAAGCAACAACCGTCTCGCCACCCGCTGTCTAGAAGTCGTGAATAGGCTTTGCTCCCCTACGTATACTTCCTCCGTCTCGGACGGGTCAACACCGGTGCAGCCGCCGATGCTGATGCAGTTCTCAGATCAACTCCTCAACGATCCCATGTTTGGGAGTATGTTCCCGGATGTGGACCAGGAGTTGAATCTAGGGGGAATGGATTTTTCTGAATGGGTGAATTTCACGCCTCAGACCGGCTTGCACTGATTCAACTGTTGCTAAGTATTGTAACAGAATCGAACGTGGTATCCGACATATTGAACATGAGGGTTCATGACGGCGACATTGACGTTACTTCGGTAACTCGACAGATAGAACGCGCCCGGAGTCTTCCAGTAATGGCGCTGAATATGTTCTCGATCTTCTAAACATCCTCTTCCTGTCGCGCATATGGATTTTTCTCGAGATCTGGATCGCCGGCCTGAGTTTCCCGGAGCTCCGCCTCGATCTGAACGATGCGCTGCTTCTCCTCATGGGCTGCTGTGTCACCGAAGATCAGATCCATATCTTCAAGAGTCTAACGAACTCTCAAGTTAGCCTCCGCTAATCCACAATTGCAGCGCTGCACAAAGAGGAAAGAGATGGGAACAGGGCGACGAACCTTCCCGCGTGTCTCTGGAATGCAGAAGAATGTGAAAGCCAGCGCCAAAAGGCAGAATGCTGCAAAGAAGATATAGGTGCCATAGGTGATTGTGTCGAGCATATCTGGGGTTACCAGACCAATGATACTGGAAGGCGAGGCGTCAGCTCACCATAACCTTTTGCTTCGCTCACTTATGACATTCAATGAAACACATACAAATTGCACATCCAAGTCGCCGAGGTCGTGATGGAGATGGCCTTAGAGCGGATGGAAAGGTTAAAGATTTCCGACGGCAGGACCCAACCGATGGGTGCTGTTCTCAGTTAGTCAAATGTTACTAAGATACTTGACGAGATGAGGGCACACAGACCGAACGAGTATGAAAAGTTGATATCGTAGATGTAGATAAAGGCAATCCCCGCCCACCCAGCGGATTTGTGATTGACCAAGTCTGATCCATAGGCGCCGATAATGCCGCCTACGATGGCCAGGGAAATGCAGGTGCCCGTGGCCCCAAACATCAACAAAGGACGACGGCCAACCTTGTCGATCAAGAAGAGTGCTGGGAGGGTGCTGAGGCAGTTGACGATTCCGTAGACGCCGGTAGCGAGGAGTGAGGTCTAAGACGTACCAGGAGAGTCAGTCATACTAACTAATTTAACTCTTACACTTATAAGCTTACCGTGTTACCGTCAAGCCCAAGTTGCCCAAAGATGGTTGGGGCATAGTAAATCATTGCTGCCGATTATGTTAGTAGTAGCAAAACAAGGAATAACCATGCAGAATCACCATTGCAGCCCATGAACTGCTGAAAGAACATGACGGCGCATCCGATTGCGAGCCGTTTGAACCGAGCCCATGTAGTCAGGAATGAGAGGTACTGTGATGTTCAGTGAGACTACCTCGAAAACGAAAGGACTGTGATTAAGAACACTCACCTGAGCAGCATGCAATCGAAGGCCAGACATGTTCGGAAAATTTTCTTGCGCAAAGGTATTCTCCAACAAAATTGAAGCTTTGATTTCCAGGTATTCATTAACGAGTTCCGGACAGTCCCTAGCTTTTCGTCTCAGTTTGGACAGCGACCTCAACGCGTCGTCGTATCGCTCCTTCATCATTAGCCATCGCGGAGTGTCAGGGAAGAATAACATGCCCAGCCCGAGGATCATGGCTGGGACGATCTGAAGAGCCAAGGGTAGTCTCCAGGACGCATCAGACTGTCCGTCACAGCCGCCCGGTGGCACATCGCGATAGGGATCAAATTTGGAACCATTGCTGAAAGGAACATCCGGGGCGCAGCGAGACCCTCCGATGTAGTTTGTGCCATAGTTGATCCAATAACTGACCAGAATACCAATGGTTATAGAGACTCGTCAAGTCAGCAGATGACTGAAGGGAATAACGATGGACTGACGTACGCTGTTGGATGACGACAAGACTACCTCGAATTTCGGCAATAGAAACCTGCCAATCCTTAGCAATCTTTTTCTTCTCCTTCCTCAGTCAGATGAGAGTGCATACCTCTGAAATGTACAAAGGCACCACCATGGTCAACTGACCAACCGCCAGACCTGCGATGGCTCTCCCTACAAGCGATCAGATACTCTGACGTGTCTTGCAAATATTGCAACATACCGGCAAAGAGCATCGGGATTGTCACTGCGCCGCATTGAATGGCTGAACCAATGACAAAAATTACAACTGCTATGTTGATTGATAGCTTGCGTCCAAGTCTGTCGGCAATGGGTCCGTTGATGAGAGAGCCAAACCAGGCAGCTAACAGGGCGTCAATATTGTTCTTGGAGGGGAAGATCAGGACGCCCAACGTACCAAGAAGGAGCGTAGACACGAACCATCCTTTGAAGCTGCTATCTGTGTAGATACGAGGGAAGCGGGCTCCGAACGACTCCATCGTAATAACCCCAGATATAACACCTTGATCATAGCCAAAGAGCAATCCACCTAGGGTTGAGAACTGTAGATAATAGTCAGGATTGCTCTGGCCGTCCTTTCCTATAGAAAGTGGACTTACTGATGCAACCCCCAGGAGATAGGGGTTCTGGTAGATGAGGGAAAAGCCCTCCTTGGGAGTATTATCCATAGTCCCAGTCATTCTGGCTGTCCAGTCGATTACCCCAAGAGTGCTGATCTTGTTCTACGCGATCATGCTCATCAGCAAGTGGTCCTTATATACCCCTCGTCTTTATCGGTTTCAGCGCGCGTTGATTCTTCAAACTTCGCACGACTGTACTCCGTCTTTGAATCTCAGCAGCATGATATAAAAGCATTCTTGAAGAAACGGAGTTGAGTGCTCCGGCCAATAAAGGATTTTATAGTCACGATCCGATTCGGCCAGACTCGTAGGCGTGATCGGACCAGCACCGAGCCGGTTAGAGAACATGGGGAATGAAATGCGGGGAGACTTTTTGTGGCAAGTTGGAACTCCCGAACGGAAGTATGTACTCCACCAGCGTGGTCCATCATTGCCCTGAATTGACAAGAGACTCGGAGGACCTTCCTCCGGTTGGATTATCGGGCATTTCTCACTGTTGTTCTTAATAAGAGAGTTACATAGCAGGAACAACGGCTCTCACGTCAGAAGCCAAGTAGGACAGACCGAGGATCAACCTGGGAACGAGATACGAAGTAAGCTGTGGTGCAAATAAACGGACCAACAGAGCAACGGCACGTACCTGGTCAGCTGGAGGACAGTATACCGACTGGACAGCCGGGCGGGAAGCCGACCCAGGTTGCCAATCAATGTGGGGTGCGACGAAGGGCTCAATAAGCATCAGCCATCAAAGTCAATTTAGCGCTCAAAACGAGGCTTTCATCATCTGGAGTCAAAGAAATGAGAAAAGAATTCGTCAAAGAGACACAGAGATGGCAGGCAATCTGCATCGGTGACTTTGGACAATTCGACTTTGACGAGAAGTGACGGAATCAAAGCAGGTGATAGCCAGTGTAAGGTAAGGAACTAAGGATATTGCACGAGAATAAGTTATCTCTTGAATCTGTCAAACATGTCAAGATAAACGTGATTAAAAGCTCGTTGTATCCCAACGACCGCAGACAGTACAAAGGGACCACACAGAGGAGTCCAATCCAAGAACGGAGGAGGTGAAACAGAGAAATGGCCAGTGCCTGCACCAGATGCAGTCATATCTTGCTCAATTTGCTCAATTGCGCTCAAGCACCGGCATCCCCGTGAGCCTGGATCTCTCTGTCCTGCCAATGAGGCTTCAACTGTGCCTGGATTGGGACAACGTTCTTACTTCCCCCAGATGACGGTGAAGCCTCCTTCTTTCCTGCCGACTCATCTATCCAATTGTGCTTGTACCACAGGCGCTTAGAGCGTTGCCCAGACGGTCTTCTCTACATCCCTCCACTATAATTGATTTCTTAAGAAACAGGAATATAATTTTCATGCTTTCCTCCTTTCCGTTACTACTTCCCAGTACTTCTTTGATCCAACACCTCTCTCTTATCATCCAACCTTCACTCAATTCATCTATCTCAGCAACCTAATTTGATCCTAAGTACAACCACAACCAAAATGAGCCGCAAGCCCCTCCGCATCGGCGTCCTCCTGGTCGGCACCGTCCAACTCCTGGACCTCGCCGCCGTCGACCTCCTCTTCATGATCGACTCGTCCTATCTAACCGCCTGCACCCTCCCCAAACCCCTAATCGAGCTCGGCCGCCCGGTCTCAGTCGTCTACATCGGCAAAGCTGGCCCACAAGCTCACCAGGGAACGACCTCCAACCTCTCCCTGCAACTCACCCACTCCCCCGCCGATCCCGCCGTCCAACCAGGCGCCCTCGACGTCATTCTCATCCCGGGCCCGGAGCCCTCAATTGTCCCGGACGCAGAGTATCTGGATTTCGTGCGCGCCCACAACGCCGCAGGCACGCATATCCTCAGCATCTGCACGGGGATCCTGGTCGTCGCGCACGCGGGAATCGCCAAAGGTAAGCGCGCGACGGGCCCTCGCATGATGATCCCCATGCTGCGGGAGAAGTTCCCCGAAGCACAATGGGATGACTCGCTGCGCGCTGTGCATGACGGCAATCTATGGTGTAGCGGGGGAATCACCAACGGCCATGATCTCATCGCTATGTATCTCAGGACCATCGTTGCCGAACCGCTCGTCAAGACTATCCTCGGTATGGCGGATGTGCCTGAGCGCAGTGTGAAATACGACAGTGCCCCAACGACCGACAACCTGTTCTTCCTGTGGCAGGTGCTCAGGGCGTTGCCGTCGATGCTGTTCCGGTCCATCAAGGCCTAGCGGAAAATTGCAGATGACCGTATGACCTGACAGATATGTCTTTCGCTTGTTTCTGTCCCTATGTATTGCTACTCACGCCACTCACGCACTTCCCCCATTGACCTCGCGCCACTGTATTCTTGTCTACGGAGTTCCGGTTCTCGCTTTACAGTTATGGCGTTAGATGGGCTTTCGGTTTTCTACTCTCCTATCGTGGGTCCGTTTCAAGGTGTCATTGTTTCATAGTGGAATAATAATATTAGAATGACCTGTGATCACTGGATACGGCTGGTCAAGTCAGTGCTACTTGTATCCGTAGTGGCCAGTAAATGACGTCTATACTCTTTCTCCATTTCACAACTAAGAGGACAGTTGGTCGGGAACGCACTACGAACAAGGCACAATGGCAATTGAACATGAAGGATCAGGCCTAGCACAGCCTCTAGCTCAGGTGACCGAGTAGGCTCGGCTTCCAAGAGATCCGAGTGTTTAACCTCTTGATACCTGTCAATCTTTAGGTATCATCATTTTTTCTAAGTGAGAGTCGAAATGCTACTTGCCACATTCAGCAAATGACACCAGGCCAATCTGGATTGAAGATAAAGTCCTCCCAATAACGAACGAAGCCGTTTGAGAACGGGGGTTGAAAAAGCAAAAAGAAACGACAGTCGAGCACGCTCAGACCTATGCAATACGCACTAAGAGAAACGCTAAGAGAACTGGAGACCTCATGAGATGAATCGAAACATCTCCAGCTCATCACAATGCTAGATAACAGACAAAGCAGAGGTTCTTGATGTACGTCGGGCAATCGCGGACTTGCATAAAATATGCCGCTCATTGCCAGAGTGAATGCCCCGCGGAAGCATGAAATATTTCTCATAACTTTATAGCATGAAGAGTCGTCCGTCGCCTGGGTAAGATTTGTTTGGCATCCGTTTTCAGCTCATATTCGAGGTTTACTTTCGAGACTCGCTGGGCTCCCAGTGAATTGGTTCAAAGTCCTGGTTCTGAAAGTGGGCTTGGTTGTAGGGAGAGCTGAAAAGTAGGTTAGCGTCTACTCTTAACAGATCAACAACCCAAAGAGAGCAATCGGATCCAGCTTACTTCTTGAATGGAGTAGTGACGGGTAAGGAATGACTTAAGTTTTGTTTCATGACCAATGGATTCAGCCGAATTTGAGGTCCATCAGACGAGCGACTTGGTAACGAGCTCATGGGCGGCGGTGGTCCAGACATTCGGGGAGGAGGAGGAGGTGACGTGGCTGGAATGGCAGCCGGAGGGCTGGGCATACTGGGCTGGTAAACCTCGTGGGGCGGGGATACCCGGTAAGGACTTGGGGGCGCGGGAGACATTGCAGGAGATATTGCAGCAGGAGCAGCAGGCGCAAGGCCAAACGACGGATCCATCATGAGACCAGGAATTGACATCAGACTAGAGTTCACGTCGAACGAGAGAGCACCTTGATCCCAGGGGGAGTAGTTAGTGGTCATTCCGAATTGGTAATTAACCACGGGTTCCATATTCACAGTAGGTTCGAGACGGTAAAGGATGTCGTAGTGGCCACTGGGATCAAGAATGTCAGCGCCTTAAAATCTAAAGCCAAGAGTGTCGCTCAATGACTTACGGGCGATACAGCAGTCGGATCGTTGCGGAGCTGGGCCGGCCAGGTGTTAACAGGTGAGGGGTGACCGCGTCGCCTGCGCTGCGGTCGAGGTATAGAATCTCAACTGCGAAGCCGGACCCTTCAATCACACCATCGACTAAGGCTTGAAGCCCAACTTCGTCGATTTCCGTTTTGACCGTCTCAATTCGCGTTGCGCAGTACTGGTCTAGAGGCAACGAGAGGAAAGCCTGATACCTATGAGGGTGCAATTTCATCCATGCACTTGTGAGAAGCTATAGAATTGCTCGCAAGTCAGTGTTGCCAGCCGCCAAGCTCAGGTCTTCACACTGAGATAAAGGATCTGGATGTGCCGGAGGAATACTGACTCTAAAATGAGTGATGACAGCGCTCGAGTTATAGTCAATATTGAAGGCTTCCACAAGAAAAGATTCATCGTGTACGCCGTTTTGGATGGCTTCCGAAACTTGTGTGAAGACCTGCTCCGTGGCTTCGACAAATATTTCGTACAGATGTTCCTGTTGGCCGACTTGATCAAGCAAAGAGCTCAGCGACTTGATCCGCAGTAGTTCGCGGTGCACTTGCAGCGTGTCTCGGAGATTGAAGAGGCTCTCGAAGTAGCCGAACGCGACCGCTACAGACCATTCAGCATATATGGAATATGACCCACAAATCTCTCTCGGACTACGGCTCACCTCTCCAGCCACAATTCCCGTCCCCCTTCATGACCCGTGTAAAAGGATGCGTCACTGCCAATGCCTATGTGTAGATTGTTAGACCATAGGGCATCCTTCGAAGGGAAAGGTAAGAGGGAAGCAATCGTACGTTGGTTTTAGTGACATAGGTAGGGTCCGCGTTCGCATACTCCAACGCAATTGCATTGCTCGATTGCTTCATGGATACCAAAGGGCCCTTTCAACACCAATCATCAGTCGAGTTCTATGCGCAAGCCGCCAACAGCCATCGCTTACCTGAACGTCCGCTTCGAACTCGTTCGACAGTTCCTGAAACCGCTTCATCTCATCCGGAGATAGTGTATTCATATTGTAACGTGGTGTTCGCTTTGTATAGAAAGAATCCGAAAGGTGGGAGAATTCGTGGCTGAGAAAAGCCACAGAAGGCTGAAGATCTTGCTGGTACAAGTCCTGTCTGCCTGGGAAATGATTTGAGAGACCAAGGGGATTCCAAGGAAGATCAGACAAGGACATGGCATTCAAGG